ACAAACATATAAACGTTTTTACCGAATGGAAAATGATTTAGCGAATATGAATGTTTCATATATCGAATATATTTGAATTTAATGAATAAAGAAGCAAAAATAATGCCATAGCGGTGTGCGATATCACTCATAACCATTTTTTAATCGCGCACTGAATGAATTACAGGGGGCGCATTATGTAAAGTGAATTATATAAATAAAGTGCGCAGAAATCTATCTGACTGGGCCGCGGTGTGTGATATCACTCCCATGTTAAAACTCCATTGAATTTTAAAGTCTGCGGTATATCCCCTTTCGATTTCCGTATTTTTTTGTTAAAAAACGTGTGACCACGTAATTAGCACCGCAAAGGCTAACTGTTTTTTTATCGTGATACCGAGGGGAAAATTATCAAATATTATGCAATTGACTTGCGCCGCGGGCAGTTCAAAAACGTAGCCTTACTAATACCACGATAACATTTGCTCCGATCTTCAACAGTCAACGTCGTCCCCCAGCGTATGAGTATTTTGTTCAAAACTGAATACAATTCTTTACAAAATACTCATCGACCGGGCACCGATGCTGAAAATGAGTGTCTGTATCTCGCTTGCTTCATGACGTGATCACATAGTAGCCTGGACAGAATTGTTCAATGGCCATTTTTTCTTTAATAACTTTTTTAACTTTCAGTATTATCAAAATCTGATTACATATTTGAAAACAAGAGTAAAATTCTGACATACAAAAAAATATTTTAGGAACATCTCTTTATTTATTGATATTATAGGCGTTCGTAGTATGAGTGACGCAAATACATAATTCACCATTTTGTCATAATTCACTCATATTTGTCAAAAATGGCGGCATGTTTTGTGGTTTGAATGTTCAGTTGAAAGTTAATATCTGAGAAATGTCATAGACCTACGAAATTATGTAGACTGCTCCCTTAGTATAAGGTAATGACTGCACCTTTTATTTCAAATTGACTTGTATGTATGCCAGTACTTAAAAAGGTTTGTACATTGTATGTACAGTATA